TTCGTGGTCAACATCTGGTGTTTTAAATTAAGATTTAAGATACATGGTGATAAAGAACAGAGCTGCGTGTGCTTGTGATATCTAGCTAGCTAACTACACAAATGGATGCATCTTCCAACATGTCTTTGTATGGGCAATCAACTCTCTATGCGTTTCTCCCATCTCCACTCATTTCATCAGCTACCCTCCCCCTTCACTTTCAATGCTGAGCTGAAATCGAGTGTCCCTTTCCCGTACTCCTACAACAGGCGCCGTGTCCTCCTCTCATACTTAGATTCTTGCTTCCTTAATTAAGAACCGAACTGATGAACGCAGTCATCCACAATTTGAGCAAAGTTGTAGCATATCACAGGGTGTGTATGCATAGCGTTTGAGCGCTTTCTTAATGGTAACTGGAAGTTCCATGGATATCACAGACTTTCCAAGGTTTTCTCTACGAAAGGGCATGAATCTTTTACGGGTTCCTCACCATCGGAAGTTAGATTCAGTGGAATTCCAGTTAAAAATTGTTTATATATATACATATCTGCGCGCGCGTAATTTTTATATTAATATTTTATAATGATTCAAATCTGTGCGCGCGCGCGCAATCTTTATATTAATATTTTATAATGATTCAAAAATATTAAAAAATAATTTAAAAAATTATAAAATTTATAAAATTTATTGTTAAAATAGACTCTCAAACACCTTTTTAATTTATCAGATATTGTGGATAAGATTAATTAATTAATTACTTTATGTATTATTAAAATATCAAGAACCCTTTTAATAACTTAATCTAACTTAATCTGTAAAATTTAATTTTCATTAATTTTTTTATGAGATATCTTGTTATCGTATTGGAATTGTATCTATAGCTAAATTATAAATTTTATTTCAAGGGGTGAAATCAAGGTTGTAAAAAATATTTTATTTTGACAAGATATAAAAAATACAATATAAATTTAGATAATAAACTCGAATTATAAAATTATAAATAATATTTTTAACTGATTATATATTGATAATGCTAGCTAAAAAATTAATTTACATTAAAATATGATAAAATGAGTTAACAAAATTATAATTAATAAGTGATCTAAATAAAATAAGAGAAATAAATAATATAAATTCATAAATTAATGTTATGAAAAAATAAAAAGTTTCATAACTAAATTTCTCAATACAAAAAAATCACTAAAAGGTAGAAAATATATATAAATCTAGTAATAACTTGGTTGTTCCTATCATAATAAATCTTGATAGATTTTTTTTGAGTTGCAAGCTAATGAGTTTAAATTAGTAATTAATTAACATAAATTTAATAATGAAATAAACTCTTAAACAATGTTTAATGCGCTAAAAAAATTCTAGAAATAATGTTTTTGGTTATCAAAATGATTATTAAAAATTTAAAAATACAATTGGGCTTCGAAGCAATACCATAACCCTAGTTATACACGTTTCTTAGCATGAATGTATAATAATTAAGTTGGAAATTAGAATGTGAGTGATAGCAACTGAAAATGATTGAAAATCCAATTTAACCACATCCTGATTAAATAACAGTAGACGTGCGTATAGATGAAAATGAACCGGGACATGGCGTCTACAAGATGAAATTAATAAAGTGGCTCAAGGTCAAGTCGGACCAAAAGCAGCTAGCCACGGCGGACCAATTACGAATGTTGCTTAAGAAAATGAGAAATCCCGGGTATAAATTTTCTTCCTCTCATATAATTTCTATTCTGAATTCAATAGTCAGTAGGAAATCACGCGTGAATGTTTGGAATTTAGATTAAATTTGTTTTTTTTTGTTTTTTTTAGATTATTTTAAGACGTTAATATCAAAAATAAACTTTAAAAAATAAAAAATAAGTTATACTACCCTCCCATTAGACATTAGAGAAAAAACCCTTAAACGAAGAGCTGGAGGTTCAAAGTCCCACCTTAATTCTCTCCAAGTATTTGCTTTTAATTCTCTTTATTTATTTTTTATTTTTTTTGGTTATCTCCACAATACAGCATATATATTTGTTTCTAGCTATTCTAGATCTTTCACCTTCAATGCCTCTTAAATATTTCTTTGAAGCCGTAAAGCCCAAGAGTGGACTAAATCCAGGAGAAACAGGGTGGGAGTGGGCCTTTGTCGATCGGAATAATCCACGCATGAGGAAGCTGCAAGGAAACAACTACATAAAATTGTCTACGAACTATATCTATATCGTATACGTTAGACAGCATTTGAGGGTTGAGACAGGTAGTCAGTTACTGTAGGACCTGCAGGATCTGCACCTATCTGTCCATGAAATAAATAAAATTAACAAAAACATTAACGTTCATGGGAAAAGCAGTGTAGAAATGCATTTGATTTGATTTATTTTGAATTGAAATAATAAAATTATTATTTTATTATTCTAAAAAATTTGAACTAATTATTTAAAAAAACAAAATCTTTTCAAAAAATCTATTTATCATTATAAAATTAATAGAAAGAAGTAAAAAATTATTTATTTCTTAAAAAGTAATTTTCGAGAAATTACTTTTTAAACTTTCTTGTTTTTAGAAAAGTTAGTTAATGAAAAACACTTTCGAATTAGTAAAAAAACTTTCTGGTCAACGAAAAATATTTTTCAGTCAAAAAAATTTGGCTTGGTTTTAGAAAAGTATTTTTTTTGTTATGTTTGTTTTTCGAAAAGTGATTGTCGGGAAATTATTTTCCAAACTTTCTTGTGTTTGTTTGCCGTTAGAAAAGTTGGTCAACTGAAAATATTTTTCAATCAAAGAAAAATTTGGCTTGATTTTCAGGAAAGTATTTTTCTAGAAAATTTGAATGAAAAACACTTTCTAGAAGTTGTGAAAAATTTAGAAATGTCATTATTTGCTGATTATATTAAATTTGATCCTTAACTTTTGATTGCTACATATATTTTGTTTTAAATATTTATTTTTTAATTTCATCTCTTAAAATTTAATTTTTATATTAACTTTGGTCCTTATTTTTATAATTGTTATTTGTTTTTTTTACTGAAATTGTTTATCTATCAAATTTAGTCCTTATTCTTTTGACTGCTTCTTATTTTATTTGAAATAATTTATGAAATATTGATTATTATTATTTTAATTTCTTCATCTTTTATTTTTTTAATTTTTTAGATTTGTCTCTATTATTTTAATTATTATTTATTTTATGTGAGATAATTTATAATTTTTTTTTACACGGTATCACTATTTAATTTTTCTGAAAATAAATTATTTAAATAGATTTAGAAGCTTTTTTGAAATTCCACTTTTCACTGCACACCTGAATGAAAAATAAAATTTCTGCAGCTTGCTCCAAGGAGTTGTTGCATTTTCATCTTCTTCTTTTTTACAATCATGTAGTCTGAGACGGCTATCTTTTTTTTTTTTTGGTAAGTAATCTGAGACGGCTATCACATGCATTATATGTGACAATCATGTAGTCTGAGACGGCTATCACATGCATTATATGTGTCAGTAAGCAAGCAACATTGTTATGTTCAGGCGACATGTGCAGCAACTATGGTGGCCAAAAACATACATCATTCCTTGGTGCTTTCTAAATCATCAAATCATCACAGTGGGGCCAAACTTCCTGGATGATATTGGCGATGTAATTCTTTCTAGTTAGCTTCTTCTTTTTTTTGTCCTTTTTTATTTTCGTGCCTGACATTCAAAATATCACATTGGCATTCCATTTGTTTTTTTTTTGGTTAAAATTTAGTTTATGTTATTTTAATTAATATTTTTTATTTAAATTTATTTATATAAATTTTTTTAATTTTTTAATTTATTTTATTTTTAATTATTTTTAAAATTATTTTTTATGATTTCATCATCTTTTATTTTTTATTTTTATAAATTCTTTAAATTAATATTTATTTTTCAATTTCATTCTTAATATTAAATTAATATTATTCATTCAGCTCAAGTTTAAGATTTAACGAGTAATGCATTTAAAGATTAACCAAGATTTAAAAAATTTATCCGGATATATTTTTTTTTTCTTCTAAGCTTAAGCTTTTTCAGTATCATCTTTAAATATTAGATTTGATTGGAGATTGGACTTTGCTATTTTTTTTAATTTTTTATAGGATTTTTACTATTTTTTTATTTGAAGATTTTTTTTATTTTTCATTCTTTGTACAATTTAGTTTTTTCATTAAAATTTTTTTTCTAGATATACCATTTATCCCTCTTTAAAAAAAAATATTCTAGGTTATTGTAATTATTTTTTTATTTGATACATTTATTGTTGCTGTTAATTTTTTTATTGTGTAATTAAAATAAAAACAATTTATTTAACTCAATTAGATATATGATCTCAGTTGTAAATTTAGCTTACTTCTTTGAGACATGTCTGCAGCAAATCATTTTTTTATGAAAAAGAATCGAGACCACGGCATAAAGTTAAGGATTAACTATTAATCCAGCTTGAAGTCGTACGTTCATGTAATTATAAATATCCAAATAACTAATTAATGTTTGCAACATTAAGATATGCAACTTGTGATGACATGCCCGGACCCGAGGGCAAGTGGAACCGTCGCAGACAAGAAAAGGGGAAAGTAAAAGAGTCGCCACCAATAGTTTATTTTCTAGGTGTAATTGGTTACCTAATTAATCTCAATAAATACCTAAAATTTATTAGAATCAATGAATTTTGGTCTGCATTATCTGGAATTAGGATTCAGGAATTTACTTATGTTTGGAAAAGATGTCAGTACCTCCCCCAAAACACTCGTTCAAAATAAGGATTGCTTATAATCAAGAATTGACCTTTATTCATTTCTATCATCTGCTTTCTAAAATTCCGAATAATTATTATTTTTTTACCATAATATATTCGTGTAAACCCAAAAACTAATTGCATGATCTGCAAAAAAAATAAAAATCTAGCGGGTATAATCTCAGATTTACTCGGAAGAAAATGGGTATATACAGGACTTGAACTCCACGAGAGACATGAACGTTGGGAGGTCAAAACAGGGGTAAAGTTCTCACAAAGATACATAAATTCCAACATGCAGAGAGGACAAATTTAAGGAAGACAAAATCAGACAGTTTTTGGACCCAACGATCTCTTACAATGAGCAATAGCCGCCTGAATCGAGTTATCTTTAGGACATATTTTATGATTCTGATCATCACTTGAGAGTTCTTGGTGAACTGGGGAGGATTTTGCAGGGCTTGGGCAACTTCTAAATTTTCTATCTTCGCGGCCAACGCTACTGCTGCTACTCATCGTTTCCACAACTCCTCTAACTGTATCCATTTTCGTCTCCAATACTCCTGACCTCTCACCTTCTCCAAAGAGGTTGTTTGAGTAGACGTTGCTGCTGCTACTTCCTTGCGCAAACCATTTATCGAATGGATTCATTAGCTTCTGATGTGTCCCAGTATTCCTCGGCTCTTGGGGGGAGTTAATCACTTGGCAGGACTTCATAAATGATGCAAGCAGAGTTCGAATCTTCAAGTTTCGAAATTTGATCAAGAACTTCATCACGATCCCATTACTGCTCATGGCTGCTGTCTTTGATCCTTTCATGGTGCTATGGTAGATTTGAAACAGGAAATCAACACGGCCAGCGATCAGTGATAATTATTATATTCAGTGCCTATAATAATCACGTATAAATAAATTTAAATTATTTGTCAATACAATCTATACCCATTGTATTGATTAGTTACACGTGTTTCAGCCATTAAAAACTGGTTTTACCGATTGATGGAAGATATCTGAATTTTCTAGCATCACTTACGGGGATAAGTAAATTCTTACATCTATTGTATGTAAATTTTTCATTAAGTATTTAGTTTAGTGATAACATTACAGCTTGATAAAATTCAAGAAAGAGAAACTATATCTACACTTCATTTTTGCTATTTCAGTATTTAGAATTGTAGTAGCAATATTTTTTAAAAATATTTTTCATTTGAAAATGCTTTAAAATAATATTTTTTATTTTAAAATATTTATTTTTATCATCATCATATTAAAATAATTTAATATTATAAAAAATTAATTTTAAACAAAAAAAAAAGAGTTAAAAACACTTTTTAAATACACCATACTTCTAACGTTGTAAATTGTAACAGAAGAGATCATGGGCTAGATTAGGACATGTGATTAGCCTAAAACTCAAAATCTGAAATGGACCAACCACGGCCCATCCACATAAAATTAGTGATTGTGGGCCATTTTGTTTTCTAAATTCTGATATTGAACACGGCCATTTCTTGGGGAAAAAAGGGGGGCACAATTTGTTGTTGCATCTCAAAAAAAAAAAAAGAAAAAAAAAGAAAAAGAAAAAGAGAGACAGAATGAAAATATAGAAAATACCTGCTGCTTACAAGCTCCAAATGATTGTTGTTAGCCGGATGGCCATTTCCATCACCGGCCTCTGATGATACCGTCAAACTGGGCTTTAACATATTTAGAACACTGTTCACTTTAGGGAACTGCACCTTCCTTTTAATGGCCTTTTGGGCTCTACAAGTAGAAGCAGAAGCCTTGGACCCCATTTGTGCATCCCGTTGACCACTCTCCATGGAAGGAGAAGAAGAGCTCATTGTGAATGTTGTTGATGATGGAGACGATGGCATTGTGGCCGCAGACTCATGCTCATTACTGATTTTTTTGGTGGAGAGTTCTTGGAAGGGAGCACTAGATGAAAATGATATACGTAGCTCCATTTCCTCATCAGCCCAGCAATTAATACCTCCATGACCATTTTTCTGGGAGGGTTCAAGGGCTATTTCAATGTAGCTCTCGTCGTCGCTCTCATCGAAGAAGATTGATTGGAATGGTGAGTTGAAGTCATAGCAGCCACTGAAGGAGAAACTCTCTTCTAGCTCTGGATCTCTGTATGTGATATTTGCCATGTTACTGATCAGCAAATATCCCTAGGCCTAAAACTAGAGCTGAACAAGATTCTTGAGATAATTGCGATGCATAAGATTCTTTACAGATATTTATGATGATAATAACCTTGAAGCTATAATAGAAAACAAATCAATACAGATCATAAAGATCAGAGGCTGTTGGTTTGGAGGATGGAAACCCATGTGCATGGAGGTGACTAAGCGAGGGTAGATTTGATTTAACCTATGAAATCTTGCTAATTAGCTATAAGCTTTAACCTTCTTGGTGTGGGTTTTGGTTGAAGAGTGAATATCTAAATATAGCCCTGGTCCATATCAGACAACGCCAATGGTTATATCATCATTTTAGGCTCTGTTATTCTAATAAATTAATGTGTTGAGGGTTGGAACGCTCGGACTTGTGTTTTTTCTGGTTTAACAAACCTCAAAATCCCACAACCTCCGTGATTCAATATTCGCTTCTCGGAAGAGCCATTCCATCTTACGTTTGCAGATTTGGTTGTGGCTTGTTTTCCATTGTCGTTGTAGATAATGACCTCTTAACCCATTATTGTTTTTTAATTTATTTTTAATATTAACAAATCGAAACAACACAGACAAAAAAAATCAGTAATTTTTAGCATTCAACGTATCAATTTCAGCATTTAATTATTAAGAATTCAGCGATGGCAAACAACAAATAATCTGATTCTCATAATGGTTATTTGCAATCTCTTAATTAGCGACACATCATAGCATCATGTTGTAAGGACAGGGGACTCTCTGGTCTGGTTTCACATCATTTAGCATTGACACTTGGCAGCACATCATCATGTTTCGTGTGAATTAATGTGAGTCTATAACGCTGATTGAAGATGATTTGTATGCTGAAACAAGGTACCATGTCGTCGAAGAGTTTCCAAGAGATGGCGGAGCCCACCCCTGGGCTCGGTGCAGAATTGTGTCATAAAAACGCTGAATTCAACTACCCCATTTGCTGTGCTTGTGATGTTGGGGGCTTCGAGACTACCTTATGTGGACCTAAACTCTCTTTGTTGACTTTCTAACCAAATTGACCGGAGAAATTAATCAAATAAACCCTGGAATTGAGGTGGTTTGATGACGTTTTCCAAGTGGAGCTAGCATGGATGCATGGCTCCATCCTGGTGTTTTGTTACTGGCATCTTCTCACATGTATTTGCTTCAGGAATCTTAGTTTTTGTGTCCTAGAAATCACAGACAATCTCCCCAGTTTTTTTCCTGCAGTCCTGCATTTGCTTCATGTTTTTCTGAAAACATAAGCAAGCAAGCCCAACACGAACACACCAATCTGGACCAATGATTAAATCTCATCTGATATAGAATCTTAAAGTTGAACAAGGGATTTATTATCTACCTCAAATCCATTTCCATTCTTGAAATTCTTCTAGAATTGAAAAAAAATAAAAAAAAATAACTCCTAATATTTAAAGAAAATAATTAATATTCCACCCATAATGAAAAACACAAATCCATTCCCATACTTGAAATTCTTCTAGAATTGCAAAAAAAAAAAAAAAAAATTCTAATATTTAAAAAAGATAATTAATATTCCACCCATAATGAAAAATCCAAAAACAGTTATAAATCCACAAAACTCATTAAAACATCATATAACAAAGATAGTTGAAACATCATGTAACAAAGATGGTTGAAACTAATACAAAATTGACATTTTGATATTGAAACTCCATGACCCAAATAAGAGTAGATGTGGCCCCTCTTACACATAGATTAAAGAATCCTCAAGTTTAGTCTTAACTGAAATTTATACGATCATTTCATTCAGTATTTTTTTAATATTTTTATATTGAATTTTGTGATGAGTTTATTTAGAATGTATAATGATCCTTAATATTCGCGGGCTGATCCCTATATTTTTTTTAAAATTATTTAAAATATCAAAACATTACAGTTACATTGCCGTGTTAACTATATTCAGTTAATTATATTAAAAACTAATTTAATAAATTTTCATTTATTTCGACTTTGTCAGGCTACTAGTCTCTTTCTTATAATTAATATCTATTATGGTGAAAAACTATGGTAAAACAATATTGGTTGCTTAACGAGAAACAGGTCAAAATTTGAAGGTCGCTGTTGCATATCACCTTTAGAAAGGTCCCCCCCTCCCTTTTTTATTATTTTTTAAACAGGAATTGTAAGAATCATTTTATAAATGTCATCGGTTGTAAATATTTGACAAAGTCGTTCAAGACGTCAATTTGAATTTTTGATATTACAGTAGTCTGTTATGTTTATGATTTAAAAAAATAATTTTTGTTAAAGTTGATTTGATATTTACGTGTATTTGGTTAAAACTATGATTGAAATTGAGAATTAAATAAAAAATAATTTAATATGTTTGGTTAACAATGCTTTTGAAATTAAGGTTATAAAATAATTTTAAAAAATATATATTAATATTGATAATTTTTAATTTAAATATTGTAGATTTAACTATTATTATTACATCATAAAATAAATAATACTTTGTATAAAATAGTTTTTATTATTCTATTAAATTATCCATAATTCTATCATATATAAAATATATCCGATAAAAACTATAATTTTTTTGATTTTTTAAGTTTTTTAAGCACGCAACAATATCAAGTAAAATATAATTAGGAACAAAATTGGAATTGCAATTAAATTATGCAAATGCTACATTATCAAGCGATCCCTATCTAATTTATATAGTGTTATTGAATAATGTTAAACACTAATTTTTTGAATAATACATAATTAAAAATAAAAAATATTTTTTATTTTTTTATTTTACTAGATCGGACTGGATTCAATCCATATTAAGCTTTAGATTGAACCTCATCCTATCAAAATTGATCCCACCGAGATAGTAGAGCTGATTATATTGTTAAGTGGAAAGTTTAGCTAGCTACACTGCTAATTAAACATGTACAAAAAGTGATAATTACATGTTTTTTTCCCCTTGTATTCCAAACATAAAAATACTATAAAACCTATAAATAATAAATTATTATTTTCTTTACCAAACAGGTTAATGTGCATTTTAATCAAAACACAAACACAACCTTAAAGTTGCATTTCGAACAGGGCCCGATGCTCTGGGCATTAAACATATAAAACTTGGCTGTCTCTCTACGTGCGCCTGAACTTCATCTTAGAAGATGCAATGCCGAGAGAGAAATTTGCTTATGCACGCATGATGGGATCTAAAAGATAAGCTGCGTAGGAATGGTGAAATAAATCCTGAAACATCAAAACCAGCCACGGCACATTCATTATTAACATATACAAACTTGAAGTCTGAACACCATTAGGACGACATGCCAGTGATTGATTCATGTACGTTTCTAGTTCATGCATATGGAAATCATAGGACTAATTGACAACAGAAAAGAAAGCAAAAGAAACCAAACGAAAATAAAAAAGGAAGTTCGGAGAGGTCTAAGATCGTGAAGATGAATCGTCAAGATCAGCTCCTAACAAGAACGCTCCTCATCATGTCCTTGAATTCAAAGAAATCAACACGACCATCTTGGTTACGGTCGACAGAGGTGATCATCTGATGAATTCTGTCAATCTCTTTGGCTTCAGGCAATCCCAGCTTCCTCAACACGACTTGCAATTCGTGTGCTGATATGTAACCATCCCCATCCTCGTCGAAAACCTTGAATGCCTCTGACAAATCAGATTCCTCCTGTCTCATCCTAGCCTGATCTCCGATATCATTTGCAGCCTCCTCCTCGGATGCAATATTATCGTAACCAAAGAAACTGCTGTCCAGTGATTGATGAAGGGAGACAAAATCTTCGAAAGAAAGGCCAGAGCTGCCAGGCATGATGTGAGATTTGATGGTGAATTCAAGGTCAGAGAAGTCAGCCTCGAGGCCAAGTAGGCTGAGTGCTTGACTAATTTCCTCGATGGTGATCATGCCATCGCCATTCTTGTCGAAAAGATCAAAGATGCGGCGGAGGCGAAGGAAATTGAGACTGGGGCAACGGAGACTAAAGGAGGAGCTTCTCTGGTGACCAGTGAAGGTTGCTGCTGCTGCTTCCATGGCTTGTTTTATATATTCTTGGGTTGTTTCTATTGCAGCAACAGAAACTTGAGGGCCTGAGGGGGGGAGAGGATAGCTCTACTGCTTTGACAATGAGTGGTTTTATTGTCGAAAAGGTGAGCGACAAAGCGCGTTTGGCGGCGGCGAGGTTGTTTGGCCAACCAGTAATGACTCCTGACCATTTCCTAGAACTTCAATTCGAATGTTCTTTATTATGCCCAGGGAAAGTCTTCGCAAGTTCTAAGTCGTACCCTCTCTCTTTTTCTTTTTGAAATATCTTTTTTATTTTTTTTTAGTTTTTCAATGGGCAAGACTATACAACCCATAATAATTAGATAACCCGTTTATCTTATGCTATGGATTAGATCTAAAAAAAATTAAATTAAAAAAAAATTTAGATTGTAAGAAATTTTTTAATAGTATTTTTAAATTTAACCTAATAAATCAATCTTATAATTTTTCAGTATAATCATTTATCTAGTCTAAATTTTAAATAAAATTATGTAAAATTTATCATAATATAATTTAGTTAATTTAATTGGTTTAAAAATAAATAATAATTAAAATAACCAATAAAAATATGATTTGATTTTTTAATTAAAAGGTATAAAAAGATGTAAATAAAAAAAACGCTTGGATATGAGAATTGAAAAAAACTATTTGACAAACTTTGCTGGTTATCTTAGTTATTAGTAGAACATTAACATCTAATCAATCTCAATCCAAACACTTAACAAACTCTCGTTCATGAGCCTTTTGAATTTTCAAACTTCATCACTACGCAGATTATATAACCACACAAAATTCATTGCATGGCATGGGAAATTTCGAAGCCATCGAGCCTGCTCGTCCCATTGGTGGATGCATTCCTAACACACGTGGGCTGTTGTGGTGCACACATAACAAATATTCTCCCTGCAACTTGCTTTTCTCGAAATAAATGAGAGAAAAAGAGCCAGCCTCAGCCATTGAATTTGGAAAATGATTTTAATTTTAAATCACCAAGCAGAGTTTTTTCGTGGGGTGGGTCGGTCTTTGAATGGTCCGGCGTCGTGTTGGGTCAAGGAAGCTACAAGGAGACCGTTTCATCTTGACTTGTGCCTCCACTTGCGCATTGACGGAGTTATACGCGCACGCTCTCTCGTTTATCTTGCTCTTCGTGACTGTTTCTGGAGACAGTTTTCAAAATCTATTTTATTTATTTTTTATAAATAAAATAAGTATTTGTACATAAAATTCTTTGAAAAATATATATTTTGTTAAATGAATGATTTCTATTATTTTTACGTTTTCTTTATCAAAATAGTATTTATCGGTGCCATTCTTTTAATAAGAAAATCAAGGTAAGTAAAATAATTTTTGTAAGAATTTCAGTAACTTTTAAACATG